CCCCCCCAGACTACATTTTGTGTGGGTTCCCTTTAGCAGGGGGGGGGTGTCTTTCCCTGGCGGGAGATGTAAAGCAATGATGGAGGCTTTTAGTGTACATTACCCAGGACGCCAGCAGTAATTTCCTGTCTGTCAGGAAACAGCTCCGGCTGATGCCCATGACACAGACGGAGAGATAATCACCATCATATATTTAAAGAAGGAGAGGGGAGAAAACACGTCTCCCAAGGACAGGTGTTGATTAGACGGGGATGTTGTGTTGAAATCCCACGTGCAATTTGCAAGAGGGTCGCATGGACTCACAGTCATATCTGCCGATGTATGAATGCGGAGCGTCTGGGAAAGGGGGCGGGGCCAAGGGGCGGGGCTAAGGGGGCGGCGATCGAAAGACGTCATGTTGTTGAAAGATACCTAAAAATGGCTGACTTCTCATCCGGACCCTTTCCTCCCCCCTCCTCCCCCCCAAAAACAAAAAACCTCAATTAAACAGCAGATTGTTTTTCTTCCTGATTGTAGCTCCTTCGTAATTTGCATGGGACGTGAATGCTGGCTTAGATCTGAGCGGAAACATGCATGTGCGTCGAATCGGCCGTCGAAAAAAAAAAACTGAAAAAGACTTCAAAAGACCAAGGACCTCAGCCTGTTATGTTTAGTGTGTTGAGTGGATTTTTAATATTTAAATATATATGTGTATGCAGAATATGCATAAATATGTGTGCGAGTGTGTGTGTGTATATAATATATACACACGTGATATATGAATGAGCTTATATAAATTGTTCTTTGCCTCTGTGATTTGGCATGACCTTGATTTTGAGTGTTAAGTGAGAAATTCATATGTATGTGTATATGGTCGTTCTCATGATCTGACTTTCATTTTCCTTTTGATTGGTCGGTTTTATTATTTCCTGCTTATGCTTTTGTCAGAACTCTGCATGTGAGCCTCATACTCACCTTTATTCTCTGCACGCCAGTCCCGAATAGCTACTCTGCTCATCCGAATTTTGGCGCCCTCGCTTCCCCGGCAGGCACCAATCCGCCTCGGCCCGGAGCCTTCCCTGGCGCCAACAGCCCGGGCCCCGTGGCGGACCTGTACGGCCCCGCTAGCCAGGACTCCGGCGTGGGGAACTACATAAGCGCTGCTAGCCCCCAGCCCGGGTCGGGCTTCGGCCACGGCATTGCTGTAAGTACCCCAGCTCCCGCCCTGTCCCCCCGAGCCCCATCACAGAGTCTCCAGTCAAAGTGTGGTTCCCCTCCCCAAGTCCAGCCCTTGGGATGTTTACTTCGAGATTGATGAGCTTGCGAAGGTGGTCATTAGACGTCACGGAAAGTCTCCGTACGGTCTCGCGGCCCGATGATGCTTCCTATCAGCGCTGGGTTTGCTGCCAGAGAAAAATCCATGAGTGCATCTCTTTTGAAAAGAAGTCAGGTTGAAAACTGCCAGACCCTTACCTCCTGCCCTTAGTTCCTGCCAGCCGCGAGGAAAAGGAAGACCTCGGTAAAGATGAAACAGAATATATGAGAGATCAGCTAAAATGGAGACACAGACTGCTAATGTAATATTTTAAAAGTGACATTTGGAGCCTGGAGATCTGAGCAGGGTCTTACATCAGGCGGAGATTTCCGGGCTCTCAGACCCAGCTGCTGTTCACCTGGCCGGGCGCTCGTCGCCGGTCGCCATGGCGCCCCGCCGTTCCCCCCCGGCATCACCGCCAAACAGGTGTGCTGGCCGGCAGCACCTTGAAGCTCCCGGCTCCTTTTGTGTCGCCGCACGTTTCTGGCATTCTTGCGCGTGATAGCCTGCTACTGCCCCCCACCCCCCCCACCCCGGCCGCCCAGAAGCGCAGTCTGACCATTAGTTGTATTACCTCTTTCAAAGACAGCTTTGTTCACTTCTCCGTCGCGGTGAAAACCGGCACCCACCGATGAGGCGCCGGGACCTTGAGCCAAACAATGATGTGGAGTATTACCGCCTCCATCAGGGACCTTCTGTGAAACGCCGCCACGGCAACGCCGCCACGCTACCGCCGCCACGCTACCGCCGCCACGCTACCGCAGCCGCTTGCCCTTTGAACACAGAGCCATCCATTATTTATGATGCCTTTTGTTTTTAACCTTTACGCGGTTTATCGGTATAGATTAGAGAACAGGGGACAGGTGAGCACGACCGGGAAAGCCCCTGCTTTGGATCTCCGCCTCGCAAACGGGGCCGGTGCCCAGTGGTGCTTTTTGAAGCCGGACAGCCTTGAAAAGGAACAAGGCTGTTTTTGTGCGCCTGTGTACTGGTGATTGTGAGGCCGCAAACAGTGGGCCCGTTCACCGGTCGCTTTGAGCACCCGATCCTTACCTAACTGTGAGGAGCTGTCCAGGTTAGGGGGGGGGGGGGGGGAGTGCAAAACAAGGAGGCCCGTTCACGGGGCTCTGACAGCTCCGCGCTGACGGAGAAGTGCCGTCCCCTTCCCTGTGGTGTGCGCCAAGGGCCCGAGTGCCGTGAATTTTCCGCCAGTCGCGTTACAGGCTGAAGTCCGACTCCGTCCTGAAAGACTTTCATTGTGTTTCTGCATGAACCAAACGGCTGCAGCTACCCAGATGCCAAAGGAAGGAGACGACATGCGCTGTTTTGGAAAATAGCTTCCCCAGCCCTGAATGAAAACTGTGCATGTTAAATAAATATGACATATAGGTTCCTCCCCCACTGACACCTAGCCTTTCCCCTCCTGCTTCGAATTATGCAGACAAATAATTGCTGAATTAGTACTCTCTTGCTATTGGCCGGCTGACGTTCAGCACTTTTATGCTATTGGTCGATATACCGCGCTATTTCCCAGAGGCCACCTAGTGCTTCTGTCATCTTACTAGTGACGTCTGATGTCTTTAAAATTAAAATTTAAATTTAAAATTAAATTTTAAATATTAAAAACGCGCGAGCACATGACGTGATTTTGAAACCTGTTCGGTATGTGCACGCTCTCACCAAAGTGCTCTTTGCTATAGACCAACATTTTGACTATATAATGATCTGACTAAAGGCTGATTACTGTTATTACTGATGAAGACACACTTTGACTTTGTCCCCTCGATCTGGGCATTCTGCACTGCCTTTTGCCCACCCCCCTTACGTATCACGGCCTGGGGGGCATGAGATGGGATCTTTGGGATTCGCTTTTGAGAGATTAATGCCACTTGTTGTGTTATAATGCCTTTGCATGATTTGTGATTGCATTAATATCGACAATGTTAGCATGAATGCGTAGAACTGCGACGAACAGAGCACTTCGGGTCGTCATGATCCTAGTGGGAGCACAGGTGTTTCGGCTGGCATCAATGTCTAGACTCCCAATATCTATAACCTGAGAGCCTGGGGCTCTTTTACTTTGCTGGTGTTGCTCTGGAACGAATTGAAGAATCCTGCCCTCTTGGATTAGGGTGGGCCGATTGTATAGTCTGAGGGTTGGTGATGGGTCCTGCTCAGGTGCATCATGGGAAAGCTCCCGTCACTGACACACGCGACGCCTCCAGCATCCAATCACATTCATTGTCCTGACAAATAGTCAATAACTCTAATATGCCTCAGTGCGTACCCCCCCTCCCCCACCCCTAACCCATTTTCCCCTTCTGTATGATGACAGCGAAAACTGGATTCGCAGAAAATAACCAAAGGAGAAAAAAGTAACCACTCCATACCAAATTCTTCCTGTGTCGAAGAGTAGCCTACTGGTGTTTGCTCGCGTGGGTTCCCGCCTCTGCCGTTCCACGCGCGAGGCATCCCGGCAAAGCTACGATAATGATAACGGTGTCCTATTTGTGGCATTAAAGTACCTTAAACTCCCAGAGGGGGTAATGAGGGACACAGCAGGATTTGCTGCTCTGCGGAGCGAGATAAGAATGATGCACGCCGCTGCAGCCTGCTTAGCTAAATGGGAGGGAAGAATACCTCACACTAATGATTGTGTTAGCAATACAGTATGTGCTCGCCGTCCTCCCGAATGCAAACCTACGGATCTGAATACTCATTCATGCTGGCAGGTGTGCAATCCCGCGAATGAAACGCACTCACCGGTGATATTCCTGTTTTTCTTTAATTTGATTTTTCTCCTCTTCTCCCCGACCCGCGCACTGACGCAGTCACTAACTCTGCACTTTCTAGGGCCCGTTGATTGCGACAGCTTTTACAAATGGATACCATTGAAACCTAACAGGTGGTTGGTTGCCATCTCATTTGAGGTATTATGTGCTATTTATATTTATTGTAAGACATTTCTGTCCTTCTTTTCACACTCATTTGTTCTGTCCCACCCTCCTCCCAGTCCACTGCTTTATTTTCATTTCTTAACCTCAAACACTCTGTTTACTTCCCTCTCTCTCTTTACTTCCACAACACTCACTTTGGGGGAAAAAAAAAGTCAAAAACGTTCTTATTTTACTGGGTTTTCTGCAAAATGTGTGATCAGTAAGTCCAAATAATTTGATTGGTGACAGAAGTATGTTTTTTTTGAACATACATGAGATGGCATTACTGTTTTTTTTTTTTTTTAAATTTTGCAGAACCTTTCACAACGTTTTTGTCTTTTTCTTTCAAACTAATAATTCGATAAGGTCAAATGCTGTACAGCCTTTACCGTCATTGTCTAGCTGCCCCCCCAGCCCCCACGAGGCTGAGCTTGCATTGACGGTATGATTGATGTTTAAACGCGCCAATCATAACAGAAATATAATGACGGCACCTTGGTTTATTTGAACCCTGCTGTTGCTTTCTTTCACGTCTGACTGACATCTTTGTCTCCTTTGGGTCACATGACCACAGAGCCACCATAGGTGAACCAATAAGGTCACTGAGAACGGCGACACCGCCTTGTCCATAACGGTGACGTACACCACTCTCTCAAAGCCGCTGCGATGCCTCGCTCTGCCAGCAGGTGGACCTCTTTTTTTGTTTATTAGTCTGAGGTCCGACACAGAGAGTGCGCAAACACCTTCGATAATCCATATAGGATTTGCTCCTCAAGCTTTAGATATCTTTGAGTATAAATACCCTGGGAATAAACCCCTTTCACCACTGTCTGTAGATACTCCCCGTTTCAGCGTTTAATTGTTTGGTGGTTCTGTTTTCAGACCCTTTGGGTTTTCCATGCCGTCACTGTGAGTAGTTTCTCACACGGGGTCTCCGTTCGCTGGGGGTGCTGGTTCGTCGGCATCCCGTACGCAGTCCAGCCCTCCACCTCTCAGGAGACCCCGTCCCCCCAGGTGTCAGAGGCAGTACCGAAGGGGGTGTTTGTTAGCATGCGTGTGTCCGCAGGGGTGAGGCTCGGTGCCCGGGGGTAGGGGGTGAGCTGTGGCCAGGTGGAGCTGCCCAGGGGCAATATTCCTGTTGCCCCTTTGAAGTTGCCCCTCCTCCCTGCCCCACACCATAACCTTCAAAATTTCCACTCTCCCTCCCTCCCCCGCCCCGGAGAAGTTGCATCTGGGCTGCTTTGTACCTCCACCACGTGCAAATGGGTTCCCTCAGGCTCCCAGGCTCCATAAGGCTCCCATTTAGGGGGTCATTCACTGGATCCACTGGAAGCTCCAGCAGCGGCTGGTGTGAAGGTGCGGCACAGTGGTCCCACTTCCCCAGCAGGTGGCGTAAGCTAACCTTCACCGGACTGGGCGGGGCTTGCCAGCATTCCCCCGCCCCACCATTTTGAATTTGTTATATCTCATTTTTTTGAGTTGCAAGTTAAACACAAAGTGCCTCAATAGTCAGTCAGTCTCTGAGAGCTGGCTCTGTAGTGTCAGACGGGGGGGGGGGGGGGGGAGACTCCTCTCGACTGCTTGTGACAAGAAAGCAACAGTAAAGGTGGTTTTTGTAAACTGACGTGTGAGCCTCCGTCTCGCTGGAGAACGGCTCTGGCGCTCGCCGCATGCCTGCATGCTGTCAGCATTAACGTGTGCGTTGCCAGTAGGTCGCACTTGTTTGTTTGGGATCCACTCTTCGATGTTGCATCTGGGCTGCTTTGTACCTCCACCACGTGCAAATGGGTTCCCTCAGCCTTGGTCCTCTTCCTCGCCCAAGTGGCGCCAAGGCCAAGTCTGAGATGGAACGCTCTCCAATGCGGCCGATCATCGACCAACGCCTGTCCCGCCATCCCCGCAAAAAAAACGGATGGGAGATTTGTATCAAACTAATTGCATTTGCAAAGAGCACCCTCAGCATCACAAAGGCATGCAGATAAACATCATAGTAGCATAGAGGGCTCGATTTAGACGTATGCCTTAAGCGAGAGGCTCCCGTTTGTAAGCAGAGCTCAGATGCAACAGTCCTTCGGAGCTACGTGTGAGAACCGGCTCTTTAACCAGCCGCTGACGTCTTCTGTGTTTGGATCGGCAGAGTCTGTCGGGAGGCCAAGGGAAGACAGGCCGAAGCTTCTGATTGGTTCTGTGTACAGGTGATGTCATCGACTTTCAAGCACTACAGCATCACCCGCGGGAAAAGGGGCAGGAGGTGGCAGCACACAGAGAACAAAACAAGATAAAAACGTAAAAAATTCATCTCAGAAAAAATATCTGCTGTACTATAACCCAAAACCTGGCTTTTAAACACCTTTCAAGTCCTCTCTTAATTATGTTTATATGATTTTAACCTGTTTATCTTGTGTTAAACTTTTCCAGTTGATTTCTTTCAGTAGCTGTTAAACGATGGTTTTAATTGCGTTTAATGTTATTTTCCCTTTTAGAGAAGTAACGGTGTAAATGTAAATGGGTTTATTTTCCTTATTTCCTTTTATTTGGAGCTTGGTATGTTTTGGTTACGTTATGTACGTTTTGCGTTCGGTACTGATCCTTTAAAGGAAAAAAAAAATCAGGCCTTCAGGAGTCATTTTGCACACATGAGAAAAGACGAGTGGCGATGCTTAGTAAAGTGTTTGAGAAGCTTTTAATTCAAGTACAAAAATGAGAGGGTAACTAACGAATAAATCTTAGTAACGGTGTTTTTTTTTGTTTTTTTTCCTGTGACGTCTTCGTTAACTATTATTACCTGTTTTGGGCAATAAGAGGACTACAATATTTTCACAGTCCTTTTTTTATAAATGTTATTTTTGTTGTCTTTCTTGTTAAAATATAGATTTTTTTGTTTTCTTTTGAATAACTTGTGAATTCAGATTTTAAAAAAAATGTAGCTGTAAATATTATTCCTGTCACTGCATATAACCAATTGAGAGAGAGATATTTTTGTGATGGTGTGTCGAGGCTGTAACTGCTGGAGCAGAGAGATGTTTAAGAGGACAAACCTGTCAGGCTCTCTGCAGGAACCGAGATCTGTCTGGAGCACAAACGTCGTTACTGCCCCACTGAGGACAAAAACCTACAAAAACACTGTTAGCTTGCTCTGTAAATACTGTAGGCTTATTATTGACTGTACTAGTGTCATACCAGCATAGATAGTAACTACAGGTGTACACAGCTTCTAAAAAAAAAAAAAAAAATGGAAAAAAAATGAGGTAACATGAGATACTCCATGATGCCTTTTAAGCAGGACAACTAGTTGCATTATGGTGGAGAAAAAAAAAGAGTTGCATTATGGGAAGTGTATGCGATTATTTAAAAAAATTCTTTTGTGTAAAAACAAAACTATTAATTCCAAAGCACACTTTTACCTTCTATCAGTTTTGAAGTACAAGATTCAAATACTTGTCTAGCCATTTCACACTGCTCTGTATAAACCAAGGCTTTTTAAAAAACAAAAAACATGCCTTTTGGGTTAGTCTGTTCCCCTGTTTGTTCCTTTTGTTTTGACGAGAAACAAAATTCCTGGCTTCAATGTGGCAGAGGCAATATGTAAATTAAGTTTTGTTTTTCTGAATTGGTATGGAGTACTTTGAATGAATTAGGAAGGCAAACATTTTATATTGTTACCTCAGTCCTGTGAGTTTTTCCGTAGAAGGGTTGACAGATTAATTTATTTTTTGCGTAAACAGATTGAAATTATGAATGAATTTTAAAATCGTAAAATAAATCATTGCACTGTGACTAGTAGGAAAAGAACTGACCATTTTCTATTTGCACATGCTAAATGTCTATTTTAAATGGTCTTTACCAGGGGAGGAATGAAGGATTATTTATGAGTTATTATTTTTCTCCAATACTAACGCCTACAGAAGCAGACAGGTCAACAACTTGGCTCATAGCAAGGATACGTATTATATAGAGCTGAATTGCTGGAATTTTATTCTATGGATCGTAACATGCAAACTTTGAATATTTCTAAAAACTGTTCGTAAACGTATTTTCGATAAAGCCGACAGAAGACACTGAATCTAATGTTCACAATGTTAACCGTAGCTGCTGCGTGCTCGTTTGTCATATATGGAGGGACTGGATTAGCTCAAGTAAAAAATGGCATTTATTGAGACGCTTTAAAAAATAAAAATTACGGAAAGATTTTTAAAGATTATGGTTGATTGATGTATATGCTGTCGTTCTTTTGTTTCTTCCTGCTGCAGATTTGTTTTATATGTACGTTAATTTTATTGTTTTTATTTGACTTTTGTTCAGAACAACCAGGTTAAGCAAAATGCTGGATGCTTTTTAAAATAACATGGAGACTTGATCAAGTAATAATTTAAACAAAAAGAAAAAAAGAAAACTATAATATTAACTGTTCAAAAGAAACATTTAAAAAACAAAAAAAAACAAAAAAAAAACTACTCTCCCTTGAACGATTTCAATTTTGGATCAGGGGATTTTTATCAATATTTTTGTGGTTGTTAATAATAATATAAATAATTATAACAATAATATTATTATGTACTGTACATCCACCAATTTCTCTCTTTTCATTCCCTGTCGCTTCATAAAATAATCTTTTGTTGATCATAAATGTATTCAGTAGTGTGTAAAAATCACATATTACCTTGTAACGGAGTGCTGTCTTTGATGCCAGTGTAGTGGTCTATACTCTTAATCGGTCTTTACCTTTTCTCTTGTTCCCTTTTCTGGCTCTTCCTACTTTCTCTCCCCCCCCCCCAGTATTTAGTAGTAGATGTTACGTATTTAAGATTAAGAAATAGATGTAGTTATTAGCAGATTTAGGACCAGTAAGGATAGAACTTTCTCTTATCAAAGTTAAAAAAAAAAAGCTGATTACTTTATTAGCAATTTGATTATTTTTCATTTATTTCTTTTTATTTCTGATCTCACATGGTTTCAACTAACCAAAGCTCTCACAGAAGAAATATAGAAAACAAATTGCTGTAAGACAGAATCTTAAACAGGCATTAATTGGATCCCCACCCTTGAATGTTTCAAAGGGGTGTGCCATACTACCTTAAATGCTAATGCTAGATATGCAAAACCGTTTTATTTTTTATTATTTTTTAAGAGGGACACAAGCTATAATTATGAAAAATGATGATTTTATTACATGAAAGAAAGTCATATTTTTTTAGAAAGTTCTAACAGATTAATGATAATTATCATAATATTAAAGATAGTAATAATAATCGTAAATATTAACAATAAAACTGTGTAATGTTTTGATGTTTGTACACTTAAAAAATATCCCAGTGGCCCACAGCACTGCTATTTTTGAATACTAATATGTTTTTTTAACGTGTCTGCCTAGATTAATAAATACTTTAGTTATCACTCATCAAAAACATTTAAACATTTTGTGAATTATTTTTATACTCTTGATCCTGGGAAACCAGCCTTTTATCTTAATCAAAACCTCAGTTCTGTTCATTGCCGTTGTCTGTAGCATCGTGGTCCAGCAGCATTTCCCTCGCAGGCTGTGCTGTGATGCCCGGTGCCGTTACATCACTGCTGCTTGACGCATTGACGGACTGCGTCTGTGTACAAGGGCGAACTTTTCAAGCCACATGTAGCAGTCAGCTCAAGGGACAATAGACTCATCGTCATTCTGCTGTTCGTATTGAACTTAAAGATGCATATTTTTTACGCTGGACTCCATAACCAGGTTAATGCAGAAGAACGATTAGGCTTAACATGCGTCACGGTGGTCACCATGCTCCACATTAACTAAGAGGATGCGACTGCAAGACTTCCCTTAAGTTCCTCTGTGTCGCGTTCCTTGGAGGAGTCCAATAGACAAGATAGTCAGCACTATATATAAATATTTGTGTGTAGGGGCCTGTAACATCATGTTTTGCTCTGTTTCTTTGTTCATAAACTGGGTAGGGCCCTGGTGGAGACCCTCCTCTGTAAGGCAGAGGGTGGACGGCGGTCTGTCTTTTTCAGTAGACTGCGTGGCTGCTGACACCAACCTCTGGCGGCTCCCCAACAAACCATTGCACCACTTCAGCTTTTGGTCAAGATAAAGGCTGGTGAGCTTCTTTTTCCGGGAAAAAAAAAAAAAGAAATAGTCAACACCATTTTTATTAGTATTCTGTTTAGTGTTACTTTCTCCTGTTTAATTTGATCCTGTAGCTTGGACTTTAAGGTAGCATGGCCCTATTGCTGTCGTTTTATTTTTCATTGTACAGCAGTTTACAGCTGATGAATGTTACACATCTTGCTAGACTAGTTAATTCATTGGATAATTGTTGGTTTAAAAAAAAAATCAAAAAGAAAAAAAAAAAGGACCTGGAAGGTGTGGGGGTGATCTTTGGGAGTGTACTCCATTTAAACTTGAATTTGTGGCAAGTGCTAGGCAATGACGAATCAATAATCCCATTCAACGAAACAGAATCACTACGCACAAAGGTTTATATAACCATACACGTAGCTTTGTCTGTGTATGAACACATGCGCCTGTCTGAATATATAGTCTATATGTTGCTGTATATCTTTGACTGAGTGGTTATCTGATGTACACGTACTGAACTTTAGTTTTGCACAAAGCAACGCCCTGTTTTCTGAAAGCTTCTCAACCAAAAAAAAAATATATTAATAATAATAATAATAATAATAATAATAAAACATACTGTAGGCATCACTCACTGTTAAAGCGTCAGTGTCGTGTTACACGTAAGGGCGGCGCCGCGATGGAGAGAGAAGCGCAGGAAGACAAACGCGGCCGTTTAGCCAGATGGTAATGCTAAACGTGTGAAAAGCGTGTAGCTGCCAATGTAGTGACCACTCCAGCGGCTCTCGATCGTAGAGCTGTAATTTCACGAGGGGTGGGGTTTGGGGGGGGGGGGGGGGGGGCTTTGTATCCAGCATGAATTGAGA